GTGTTTATTTCTAATCATTATTTGTATTTGTTTATTTATGTATATGTGAGTATATTATTCGGAAATTGTTACTAGTCATTTGACATTCTTGTTTATTTGTTTAATATTTAGTCGTATAAGTGATATTTGCTTTTACATCCAAAATGTATTTACCTTGAGGTCATAATTTGTAAAAATCATGACTTTCATTTGTTTCTATTTGTCGAAGAATTAATGAAGTGGAATTGAATGTAGATACATATGTAGGACTTTGTTTATCATATGATAAACCAGAAATTTTAGTTAAAGTTAGAGTTAAAGGGATCATTGATTAGAATAAGGCAAATTACAATAACTGGTTTCATTTTGTAGAAATTATAAATATATGATAAGCAAAATCATTATAGAAGAATTTTAGTCTATAGACTATAGACTAGACTATAGACTAGACTATAGACTAGACTATAGACTAGACTATAGACTAGACTATAGACTAGACTATAGACTAGACTATAGACTAGACTATAGACTAGACTATAGACTAGACTAGACTAGACTATAGACTAGACTATAGACTAGACTATAGACTAGACTATAGACTAGACTATAGACTAGACTATAGACTAGACTATAGACTAGACTATAGACTAGACTATAGACTAGACTATAGACTAGACTATAGACTAGACTATAGACTAGACTATAGACTAGACTATAGACTAGACTATAGACTAGACTATAGACTAGACTATAGACTAGACTATAGACTAGACTATAGACTAGACTATAGACTAGACTATAGACTAGACTATAGACTAGACTATAGACTAGACTATAGACTAGACTATAGACTAGACTATAGACTAGACTATAGACTAGACTATAGACTAGACTATAGACTAGACTATAGACTAGACTATAGACTAGACTATAGACTAGACTATAGACTAGACTATAGACTAGACTATAGACTAGACTATAGACTAGACTATAGACTAGACTATAGACTAGACTATAGACTAGACTAGACTAGACTATAGATTAGACTAGACTATAGACTAGACTAGACTATAGACTAGACTAGACTATAGACTAGACTATAGACTAGACCATAGACTAGACTATAGACTAGACTATAGACTAGACTATAGACTAGACTATAGACTAGACTATAGACTAGACTATAGACTATACTATAGACTAGACTATAGACTAGACTATAGACTGGACTATAGACTAGACTATAGACTAAACCATAGACTAGACCATAGACTAGACCATAGACTAGACTACGCTATTGACTAGTTTATATACTCGACTATAGAATTAATCATAGACTAGAGTATAGACTATAATATAGACTAGACTGTATAGCGACTTGTGTTAGTTACTTATTTAAAATCTAATCAAGTTTTCAACAAACATTTCTCCTCAGCTTATGGTTTTCAAAACTATAAATTCTTAACATAAATTATTGTTTGTGTCCTAGTTTGAATTACTCATATGACTTCAACACACTTTTCATCACTCATTTACAAAAAGCATAAATCACCGTAAAAATCACCAAGTCATACCAAACCATATATTTTAAGCCAGAAAAATATGAACACTAGATTCACAATTTCAGATAAACAAGAAAGATGGATGAGATTTGTAAATGGAAAAAACAGAAAATCAGTTTGTAAAGGTAAATGACACCTTCAAATGTATAGAAGACAAAAAAAGTAAGAATAAAAAGTATGAAAGAAATTGATAAGGAAATGAAACCACATCTATTAGAAAGCTTAAGCTTAAACTATTCACGCAGTTAGAGTAAAAAACAGGAGAAAAGGAGGGTTACACGATAGCCAAGTAAACACATCTTGTTTCCTTTTTAACAAATATGTATCTTATTATCAAAAAATTTTAATCTCTATAAAATATTAGTTGAAGTTATAGACAGTGTACCCTTTGCAAGCAATGAATTAGGGGACATTGTACCTAACGTATGTATGAAAAGGAAATGTCACAAAAATACTAAATATTACCTAAAACCACCAAAAGACATGATACATTATCAATGATATTTCCTTTTTGTTTAAGTTTTTTTCCAAAATTATTTGTAAATGTTTTATTTTCTTATATTATTTCATTTCCTCATAGTTTAGTGTTTACTTGACTTTGAATGGCAACAATTTATTCTTACAATTTTCTTCGAATTTTTTTCTTCTATATTTTCTTATTTTTTGTGAATCTCATCACAGAATCATCACGTAATTTTTCAATCAATACACGTGACACGAATGGTATGCTCGAAATCATTTATTCCTGGGACACGATAAGCTTGAGTGCATGGCGACAGGTTTTCGTATCAATGATACAAACGGAAGAAATTTATTTTCTGTAAATCGTAATGAAGTTACAATCGGTGCACACGCTCTACGGATTGATGGTGAAGGTGGTGCCATATTTCGAGAGTCAATACAGACACCACATGTACGTGCCGAACCGGGACGTGAATTAAGGTGAGTAGTTTATAGACTAGTATTTTATATTTGTGTAGTGTTTATTTTTATTTTTTCTATTATTATTAGTATTACTGTTATTACAGTTATTGATGTTTGATAAATAATTTAATAAAAAAAAGTGCAAAATTATTCGACTTTAAATCGTACATCTTTCATAAACTGCGGAAAATTTGCACAATTATTTCATTAGAATATTTTTTTACTAGTACATCGAATGTCTATAGTGAACTTCGTCTAGTATTAGATTCAATTGTCCAACATATACTGTTTCTATAGATTGGTCCAAAGTATAGTAGTGTTATATTCTATAACCTCGATTATAGTCTAGTCTAGTCTATAGTCTAGTCTATAGTCTAGTCTATAGTCTAGTCTATAGTCTAGTCTAAGTCTATAGTCTAGTCTATAGTCAAGTCTATAGTATAGTCATAGTCTGTCTATAGTCTAGTCTATAGTCTAGTCTATAGTCTAGTATATAGTCTAGTCTATAGTCTAGTCTATAGTTAGTCTATAGTCTAGTCTATAGTCTAGTCTATAGTCTAGTCTATAGTCTAGTCTATAGTCTAGTCTATAGTCTAGTCTATAGTCTAGTCTATAGTCTAGTATAGTCTAGTCTATAGTCTAGTCTATAGTCTAGTCTATAGTCTAGTCTATAGTCTAGTCTATAGTCAAGTCTATAGTCTAGCTATAGTCTAGTCTATAGTCTAGTCTATAGTCTAGTCTACAGTCTAGTCTATAGTCTAGTCTACGTCTCTAGTCTAAGTCTAGTCTATAGTCTAGTCTATAGTCTAGTCTATAGTCTAGTCTATAGTTAGTCTATAGTCTAGTCTATAGTCTAGTCTATAGTCTAGTCTATAGTCTAGTCTATAGTCTAGTCTATAGTCTAGTCTATAGTCTAGTCTATAGTCTAGTTATAGTCTAGTGTAGTCTATAGTCTAGTCTATCGTCTAGTCTATAGTCTAGTCTATAGTCTAGTCTATAGTCTAGCTATAGTCTAGTCTATAGTCTAGTCTATATCTAGTCTATAGTCTAGTCTATAGTCTAGTCTATAGTCTAGTCTATAGTCTAGTCTAGTCTAGTCTATAGTCTAGTCTATAGTCTAGTCTATAGTCTAGTCTATAGTCTAGTCTATAGTCTAGTCTATAGTCTAGTCTATAGTCTAGTCTATAGTCTAGTCTATAGTCTAGTCTATAGTCTAGTCTATAGTCTAGTCTATAGTCTAGTCTATAGTCTAGTCTATAGACTAGTATGACTAGACTATAGACTAGATAGACTACTAGACTATAGACTAGACTATAGACTAGACTATAGACTAGACTATAGACTAGACTATAGACTAGACTATAGACTAGACTATAGACTAGACTATAGACTAGACTATAGACTAGACTATAGACTAGACTATAGACTAGACTATAGACTAGACTATAGACTAGACTATAGACTAGACTATAGACTAGACTATAGACTAGACTATAGACTAGACTATAGACTAGACTATAGACTAGACTATAGACTAGACTATAGACTAGACTATAGACTAGACTATAGACTAGACTATAGACTAGACTATAGACTACACTATAGACTATAGACTAGACTATAGACTAGACTATAGACTAGACTATAGACTAGACTATAGACTAGACTATAGACTAGACTATAGACTAGACTATAGACTAGACTATAGACTAGACTATAGACTAGACTATAGACTAGACTATAGACTAGACTATAGACTAGACTGTAGACTAGACTATAGACTAGACTATAGACTAGACTGTAGACTAGACTATAGACTAGACTATAGACTAGACTATAGACTAGACTATAGACTTGACTATAGACTAGACTATAGACTAGACTATAGACTAGACTATAGACTAGACTATAGACTAGACTATAGACTAGACTATAGACTAGACTATAGACTAGACTATAGACTAGACTATAGACTAGACTATAGACTAGACTATAGACTAGACTATAGACTAGACTATAGACTAGACTATAGACTAGACTATAGACTAGACTATAGACTAGACTATAGACTAGACTATAGACTAGACTATAGACTAGACTATAGACTAGACTATAGACTTGACTATAGACTAGACTATAGACTTGACTATAGACTAGACTATAGACTAGACTATAGACTAGACTATAGACTAGACTATAGACTAGACTAGACTATAATCGAGGTTATAGAATATAACACATACTATACTTTGGACCAATCTATAGAATGACAGTATATGTTGGACAATTGAATCTAATACTAGACGAAGTTCACTATAGACATTCGATGTACTAGTAAAAAAAATATTCTAATGAAATAATTGTGCAAATTTCCGCAGTTTATGAAAGATGTACGATTTAAAGTCGAATAATTTTGCAACTTTTTTTTATTAAATTATTTATCAAAACATCAATAACTGTAATAACAGTAATACTAATAATAATAGAAAAAATAAAAATAAACACTACACAAATATAAAATACTAGTCTATTAAACTACTCACCTAATTCACGTCCCGGTTCGGCACGTACATGTGGTGTCTGTATTGACTCTCGAAATATGGCACCACCTTCACCATCAATCCGTAGAGCGTGTGCACCGATTGTAACTTCATTACGATTTACAGAAAATAAATTTCTTCCGTTTGTATCATTGATACGAAAACCTGTCGCCATGCACTCAAGCTTATCGTGTCCCAGGAATAAATGATTTCGAGCATACCATTCGTGTCACGTGTATTGATTGAAAAATTACGTGATGATTCTGTTGATGATGATTCACAAAAAATAAGAAAATATAGAAGAAAAAAATTCGAAGAAAATTGTAAGAATAAATTGTTGCCATTCAAAGTCAAGTAAACACTAAACTATGAGGAAATGAAATAAAATATAAGAAAATAAAACATTTACAAATAATTTTGGAAAAAAAACTTAAACAAAAGGAAATATCATTGATAATGTATCATGTCTTTTGGTGGTTTTAGGTAATATTTAGTATTTTTGTGACATTTCCTTTTCATACATACGTTAGGTACAATGTCCCCTAATTCATTGCTTGCAAGAGGGTACACTGTCTATAACTTCAACTAATATTTTATAGAGATTAAAATTTTTTGATAATAAGATACATATTTGTTAAAAAGGAAACAAGATGTGTTTACTTGGCTATCGTGTAACCCTCCTTTCTCCTGTTTTTTACTCTAACTGCGTGAATAGTTTAAGCTTAAGCTTTCTAATAGATGTGGTTTCATTTCCTTATCAATTTCTTTCATACTTTTTATTCTTACTTTTTTTGTCTTCTATACATTTGAAGGTGTCATTTACCTTTACAAACTGATTTTCTGTTTTTTTCCATTTCACAAATCTCATCCATCTTTCTTGTTTATCTGAAATTGTGAATCTAGTGTTCATATTTTTCTGGCTTAAAATATATGGTTTGGTATGACTTGGTGATTTTTACGGTGATTTATGCTTTTTGTAAATGAGTGATGAAAATGTGTGTTGAAGTCATATGAGTAATTCAAACTAGGACACAAACAATAATTTATGTTAAGAATTTATAGTTTTGAAAACCATAAGCTGAGGAGAAATGTTTGTTGAAAACTTGATTAGATTTTAAATAAGTAACTAACACAAGTCGCTATACAGTCTAGTCTATATTATAGTCTATACTCTAGTCTATGATTAATTCTATAGTCGAGTATATAAACTAGTCAATAGCGTAGTCTAGTCTATGGTCTAGTCTATGGTCTAGTCTATGGTTTAGTCTATAGTCTAGTCTATAGTCCAGTCTATAGTCTAGTCTATAGTCTAGTCTATAGTATAGTCTATAGTCTAGTCTATAGTCTAGTCTATAGTCTAGTCTATAGTCTAGTCTATAGTCTAGTCTATAGTCTAGTCTATGGTCTAGTCTATAGTCTAGTCTATAGTCTAGTCTAGTCTATAGTCTAGTCTAGTCTATAGTCTAGTCTAATCTATAGTCTAGTCTAGTCTAGTCTATAGTCTAGTCTATAGTCTAGTCTATAGTCTAGTCTATAGTCTAGTCTATAGTCTAGTCTATAGTCTAGTCTATAGTCTAGTCTATAGTCTAGTCTATAGTCTAGTCTATAGTCTAGTCTATAGTCTAGTCTATAGTCTAGTCTATAGTCTAGTCTATAGTCTAGTCTATAGTCTAGTCTATAGTCTAGTCTATAGTCTAGTCTATAGTCTAGTCTATAGTCTAGTCTATAGTCTAGTCTATAGTCTAGTCTATAGTCTAGTCTATAGTCTAGTCTATAGTCTAGTCTATAGTCTAGTCTATAGTCTAGTCTATAGTCTAGTCTATAGTCTAGTCTATAGTCTAGTCTATAGTCTAGTCTATAGTCTAGTCTATAGTCTAGTCTATAGTCTAGTCTATAGTCTAGTCTATAGTCTAGTCTATAGTCTAGTCTATAGTCTAGTCTATAGTCTAGTCTATAGTCTAGTCTATAGTCTAGTCTATAGTCTAGTCTATAGTCTAGTCTATAGTCTAGTCTATAGTCTAGTCTATAGTCTAGTCTATAGTCTAGTCTATAGTCTAGTCTATAGTCTAGTCTATAGTCTAGTCTATAGTCTATAGACTAAAAATTCTTCTATAATGATTTTGCTATATCATATATTTATAATTTCTACAAAATGAAACCAGTTATTGTAATTTGCCTTATTCTAATCAATGATCCCTTTAACTCTAACTTTAACTAAAATTTCTGGTTTATCATATGATAAACAAAGTCCTACATATGTATCTACATTCAATTCCACTTCATTAATTCTTCGACAAATAGAAACAAATGAAAGTCATGATTTTACAAATTATGACCTCAAGGTAAATACATTTTGGATGTAAAAGCAAATATCACTTATACGACTAAATATTAAACAAATAAACAAGAATGTCAAATGACTAGTAACAATTTCCGAATAATATACTCACATATACATAATAAACAAATACAAATAATGATTAGAAATAAACACATACAAACTACTATTTACGTAATTCCAGGAGGAAATGTGCATGTGAGTATTTTACAGGAAATAAAGAAGATGTTGAACAACTTAAACACATACATTTTCATATGGTTTTCATTTGTATCTTTATGATTATTAGCAGTAGATTGTATGTGCCGGAAACAAATGTAAAATTTATGTAAATTACTAATTCGAATAATAAGTAAATGTATACACATTTATGTAGAATATGAATAAATAAAAAAAATAAAATTTACTTATGTTGTTTATGAAGTAAATAAAAGGAATAAATAATGTACGGCCAGTTGATGGCCAAATATAGTAACTCCATAAGAAAAGTTTTCAGAAATATTCATATAAATTCTTGTAAAATAGTTTGTAAAATATTTAGTTTTTTAATGAATATGATATTCAATATTTATGGACTTTCAAGTTACTATATAAATGTTTTCGCATTAAAGTTTAAAAATTATTAGTTAATCTATTTTGTAACTAAACATTGTTTAAGCTAAGCAAATTAAAAATTATGTTTTGTTATCCTTACCTATTGCTATAGGTTGCCCATGCCTTGAGCGTATTGTGGATGCTCTTAACATGTCCATAATTAAAGCTTGTCCAGTTAGTTGTATACCACCAGGAACAATTTTCAGTTGACCCATACCTTCCTGTAAATTTACAAAAAGAAACAAAAATTCAAATAAATAAACATATGCTAAATATTAGAGATGAAGCTAGAAATGTATTTAAATTAGTCGAAATAAGTAACTTTATAACAACCTTTCTCTAGACATAAATCTGAGAGTGGAAAACCCTTAACGATTTCTCGTTTGAAGTGTTTTGCCAACTAGTTTACAGAAGAATTAATAGACAAATCTATAGATGATTCATTTAACTAATCCATAAATTAATCTATCGACTAGTCCTAAGTAATGTCTACAGATTAGTACGTCGTCGATTCTATCAGCTAGTCTGTAGTCGAGTCTATGATCAAGTATTCTATAGCAGAGTACATCGACTGTTCTATAATAGAGCCATTTGACTAGTCCTAGACAAGTCTATCGACTACAGTCATGTCTGTCAACTGGTATATTGTAATCTATAGTCGAAGTTATCTACTAGTCTATAGTCGAGGCTATCGACTAGTCCATAGTCGACGCTATCGCCTAGCCTATAGTCGATACTATCGCCTAGCCTATAGTCGATACTATCGACTAGTCTATAATCGACGCTATCTACTAGTCTATAGTCGACGCTATCTACTAGTCTATAGTCGAGTCTATCGACTATTCTATAGTCGAGTCTATCGACTATTCTATAGTCGAGTCTATCGACTATTCTATAGTCGAGTCTATCGACTATTCTATAGTCGAGTCTATCGACTATTCTTTAGTCGAGTCTATCGACTATTCTATAGTCGAGTCCATCGACTATTCTATAGTCGAGTCCATCAACTATTCTATAGTCGAGTCCATCGACTATTCTATAGTCGAGTCCATCGACTATTCTATAGTCGAGTCCATCGACTATTCTATAGTCGAGTCCATCGACTATTCTATAGTCGAGTCCATCGACTATTCTATAGTCGAGTCCATCGATTAGACTTTTACGAGTATATTGATTAGTCTATAGTCCAGTCTAGCGACTAGTCTACAGTCAAGTCTATCGACTAGTCTATAGTCGAGTCTATCGACTAGTCTATAGTCGAGTCTATCGACTAGTCTATAGTCGAGTCTATCGACTAGTCTATAGTCGAGTCTATCGACTAGTCTATAGTCGAGTCTATCGACTAGTCTATAGTCGAGTCTATCGACTAGTCTATAGTCGAGTCTATCGACTAGTCTATAGTCGAGTCTATCGACTAGTCTATAGTCGAGTCTATCGACTAGTCTATAGTCGACTCTATAGACTAGTCGAGTCGAGTCTATCGACTAGTCTATAGTCGAGTCTATCGACTAGTCTATAGTCTAGTCTATCGACTAGTCTATAGTTGAGTCCATCGACTATTCTATAGTCGAGTCCATCGATTAGTCTTTAGACTAGTCTATCGAGTAGTCTACTGTCAAAGCTATAGAATAAATCGACTAGTCTATAGTCGAGAACGTTGACTTGTTTATAGTCGAATCCATCGACTATTTTATAGTCGAGTCTATCGACTAGTCTATAGTCGAGTCTATCGACTAGTCTATAATCGAGTCTATCGACTAGTCTATAATCGAGTCTGTCGACTAGTCTATAGTCGAGTCTGTCGACTAGTCTATAGTCGAGTCTATCGACTTGTCTATAATCGAGTCTATGGACTAGTCTATAGTCAGGTCCATTTACTAGTTTATAGTCGAGTCTATCTTCTAGTCTATTGTCGAGTTAGTTGATTGCTCTATAGTCGAGTCCATAGACTAATCTATTGTCGAGTCAGTTGACTACTCTATAGTCGAGTTTATAGACTAGTCTATAGTTAAATCGACTAGTCTATCTATCGACTATCTTGCAGTCAAGTCTACTGACTGGTCTTTAGTCAGCTATATAGATTACCATCATTATTCGAATCTTTATTTGAAACTATTCTATAGACTAATGAGTCTATGATCAAGTTTATCGACTGAAGTATAGTCTAGTTAGTACTTATTTAGTCAAAATTCCTATCCAAAGAATATCATTAAATACAATAAGCATTTCTATAGTGAAAAGAAAAATTACCATAAAAACAAATAACTTTTTAGACCTTTACCTACCGTTGAGAATTCCATGACCTTCAATATCCATAGTGTTAGTCCTAAGTTTATGATTATCAATAGCATTAAGAGCACCAGTAAAGTGTAAAGACACTTTTTGCGCCATCCAATTAAACCCAAATGCATTTCAATGTCATCCATTAGACTCGAAGTACTGTTGCCTTTTGCCGTTGCTGTTGTGGTACCACTGCCACCACTACTGCTGGCTTGCATTTTCTGACGACGTTTAAACGATGCGGACAGTTTGTTGTGTTTATTCTCCCGCCCGGTAAGACCTTTTGATTTTGTTACGTTGGTTGTTGCCACCAAATCCACCACACCATCCGTAATAAAGGTAGAAGGGGTTGTTGTTTTTGTTATGGCTGGTAGTGTGTGCGTTTTAAATGTTAAACGTGTAGATCCGTTACCGTTCGAGTTTCTGTTTAGAGTTCCGTTTCCGTTGATATAAGAGAATGTTGTTGCAGACGATGATGAGGGTGCATATGTAACGGTGTCTGTTAGTAAAACACCTAAACTATTGTTTATCACCGTCTTTGTATCATTTGTTATAGGGTTAGTGTTGCTGCTGCTGTTGGTTCGTGGTTGTTGTTGTTGTTGTTGTTGTTGTAATAGTAGAGACTGCCGTTTGGGAGTTAAATTACTTCCTCTATTATTTGTATTTACTATTGTAGTCCTGCTGTGATAATCTTCGCTTAAGGTTGTTGCACTTTCAGTGGTGCCTATTGGCCTTTCTTGGTGGCTATTGCCAATTTTATACAAGTTATTGTTATAATGCTCCTGTTGCAGTTGTTGTTGTTGCTGTTTTTGCCTTTGTTGTTCAACTTCCTGTTCTTCTTTTAACAATTGCTGTTGCTTCTTACGTTTGAATGTGGAAGTCGGCGATTGTAAATACAAATGTTGTTGCAGGCTGTTCTGTTCCTTGAGTTTGTGGTGTCAGCCTTAGTTGTGGCAAGAAATTCAAATCATTTGCTGTTGCTGCAGTTGTTGCCGAGGTTGTGTTAGCATTTGTTGTTGCATTAGTCTGTGAAAGAATTTCGGTAGTTTGTATAGTGCCATTGATCGCATAACCATTACTTTTACTACAGGATAGTTTTTTTTTTGTTATTTTTTTTTAGTTTGGTTTATTTTAATATTTGGATTAAAATTTTTTATAAGATGAAGTTGGTTTGATAGTGGTTGGTTGGTTTAATGATGGAATTTAGTTAATCGATTTAGGTTTTTTTTTATTTCATGAAGTTTTTTTGGTTAAATGCAAGGATAGGTTAGCAATAAATAGAATAGATAATATACAAAAAATGGAAACAATTAACAGGATTAAACTTTAAAAACTTTCATTCTATAAATACACAAATAGGATAATTGAAATTTGTTTTTTTTTTTAAGTTAACTACTAATATAGGTAAAGCATGCAAAACTAAAATGAAATACAAATTATTTACTATAATTAAATATTTTTAATATAACTGAAGGTGCAAAAACAATTTTATATAATATTTTAATATCAATTTAAGAAATTGGGTTATATATATCTCTGAAATTTTCAAGCGAAAATTTAACATAATTTAGCTTGTTAAATTGTGTAGAATCAACGTGTTTTTCTAATACTCTATAAAAACAGATAATTATGCAGCTTTATTGTATTAGACTATGACCTGTGAAAATGTACGAAATGCAACTGATTCGTTTGAAGCCCCGAATGGGCGGTTAGACACGAAAGCGTAACATTCCATTATGACATCGCTTGGCCACATGATGCCCTTCCCGCCTTAAAGTACAGATCTTGCCCTGTCCAACAAAAAATTGTTTCATTTGATGCAGCACACTCTCTAAGATACTCTTCAATTCAGAACAAAATATCCGAAATTTCTTTAGCCTTCAGTCTGTCGAAGCTATAAACTGTCGAAGCTGTTGGATAGGTAACTTCGGGATACACGAGTGGTTATGCTTAAATAGAAATCGCTAAGAGAGAATTTTGGTTTAAAGATTGATACTTCGGTGTTGTGTGACTATTTTCATACCAGACTTAATACAGTGTGTTCTCTGTGTCCTTTTTATTAACTTATAAATATCAATACTTAATGTTAGGCTCCCACAACGATATTGCAACTTTTTATACCCTTCTCACGAAGGTGAAAAATGTCGAAGTGCTTTATGTGAACACCATTCGTGTTGGCCTATTTCTTGGCCTATTTCACGGGGTTAGCTTCTGAGACTACTCACCAACGGCCATTTGTGTATCTTACACGAGGGTGGCAATTTTTTTATGTACATGGTTCTGCCGGTCCATTTACAACAACTTTACTCAACTATTCGAGCTATCCAATCTCTGAACATTGCTGCCCCGTTGCTTAACTTCCGAGATGCAAAAACATCACTTCCGTGGTGATGGGATGGCATCCACGGAGATGGGATGGCATCTGTTAAGTCGGCACCAGCACCTAGAGACGTATTCGGTAGTCCAAAACACGAATCCATCAAATAAACCGAGGACTTTGTTCTTACTCACAGAGAACACACTGTGGTAAATCTGGCACGAACAGAGTTTTCCCTGAACATAACTGGACTAGGAAGGAAAATTAAAGGATATCATTTGTATAAGATACCTTTCATCCATCACCATTCATCCCACCAACACTCTTCTCATTTATCCGACATGCTCATAGAGAACAACATACCCCTGCACAGAGGGAAAAAGAAATATACACGCCTGGTACCAAATTTACACCAAAGTGTTTATAATTTTTCTTTATATACTGTATGTATATATACTTTGACAACGGATGTTATTGAAAATTATTACCGGATAGTGCTAGTCTATATATATAAAAGGGTAGCGTTACTGACTGACTGATTCATCATCGCCACAGCCCAAACGGCTGAACCTAGAATCATGGAATTTTGACAGTAGATGTGTTTTTGGTTATATAGATCCACTAAGGAGGGAGGATTTTTGAAAATTTGTACATTTAGGGGTAAAAAAAGGGAAAAAACGGTGTAAAACAGGTTTCCTTAATTTTCTTACCTAATATTAGTGATACAAGAAAAATTTGAATGCACATGTATCTACTCTTAAAACAAGCAGATGGGTGTCTGGTACTTTTTGAAATTCGTACTTTTAAGGTGGTGAAAATGTGTAACAAAGGTGTTTTTGGTACCTTTTTGGCCCTTTATAACTTTTTAACTGATAAACAAAATAAAATTTTTGTATATTTTATTTATATTTCCCAAAATTTCGTACTTTTTTTAAAATTCAGTCCTTTTTGGGTTGTAAAAGGAGAAGAAAACTTTATTTTTGGTACTTTTTTTTGCACATTAAGAAAACTTTTTCGATTTATTGAAGTATCCTATTAAATTACGGACTAGCTCTATAATATTTATTGAAACAAATTTTTTGCTATTTCACTGGGGAAAAAAGTACAAAAAAGGGGAAAAAACGGGAAATTTAATTTTATTCAAACTCATTGAGCCAATTTTTATAAAATTTGAAAAAGTAGTTTATTTACTCACACAAAATAAGCTATTGGTATATTATTTTGGAATTCGAGTACTAAGGCCTATATAGGACCAAATTCGAGTAAATTGTTTGGTACCTTTTTGAAGGCACAATTTTTTTGGAACAAATAAGAAAATTTTTAAATCAAAATTTTGTATGTATTTAATTTTGGTTAGGGTAGCGAAGCACCCAGGGTATGCTAGTATAATATAAAGCGTTGGTCACTGTAGGATTATTGGTATGATATAACCCACTGCTAGGATCAAACTGTTAAACTTTTCCAAAAATATTTCGTTGAAAAATCGCTCAAATGGCAAAACGGATCTGATCAAACTAATTTGATTGGGGTAGAATTTACCATTATGTAATGATGAACGAAATGCATGACATAAAAACTTTTTAAAGGTTAACAAATACATAGTGAAATAATTAACATTTTTCTGTCAAATTCAAGAATTTCTTGTAGAGTATAAAAAACCCCCAATAGTTTACATAGTTATCATTATAATATAAACTTCGTGAACTAATAAAATTTTAACTATAAATATCCTATAAAATGGAATATTAAAATTATTTATGAACTACGTATGAGTGCAACTTAATTATGACATTTAAGTCATAAACCAAATGTAATAAACTGAAAAACAAATGTTGCCATAAATGTTTAAATAGCCGGGGTCTAATGAATAATGACAGGTCATAAAAATATGAAAAGAAAATAAAAAACGCAAAAGAAATATTAAAGCAGAAATTCATTATAAAAAAAAGCAAAAAAAGAACAAAAAAACGACTTCAGAATAAATGAAGAAAACAAAAAAAATTACATTAATATTGAAAAATACATACAATTGCACACACAGATATAATATTTTAGCCATAAACTTACCGATTACAGCCTTGAGGCAATGTCTGGGTGGTGTGTTGTTGTTGCTGTTGATGATGATTCGAATGCATTCCTAATGCATTCAGTTTATTTGCCACAATCAAATTGACGTCATTAGTAGCAGAGGCTAGAGAGGATGTAGAAATATCTTTAGTTGTAGGAGAGGTTAAGAAAAGTGCTGAACCATTTAAGAGAGCAGAAGGAGGCGAAGACTGAAAATAGAAAAAAAAAAAAAATAAAGAAAATTAAATTAAAATTCTTGTTTCTTACAAAAAAAAAAAGATTTTTAATATTTTAACCAATTAAATAAACTGGACCAATTCCAACTAACAAGCATTAAAACGAACAACTAAGAAAGTATAGTCGGGCGTGGTCGACCATATGATACCCTACACCAGTTATGAATATTAAATGTGATTTATTTTTCATAATGAAGCATTTATCTTCAATATTCCCTTGTCCCGATACATTTAAGCAATTTATGAATGAAAAACTAATTTTCTGAAAGAGGCTTTATATGGGGGCTAGGGGCAAATATGGACCAAGCCCGATAAAATTTTGTGGATATATTTATATTTACATAATATTTTATTGTACTGAATTTCATCGCGATATTTGTGTTTATAAGTTAATTGGAACATTCAAGTAATTTTCTGAAGGGGACTTTGTATGGAGCTAGGGTCAGATGGGGCCCGATCTTTATGAAATTTGGCAGGGTCATCAAGACTTCTATAAAACTTAGTTGTGCCGTAATTTATCGATATATCTGTATATTTAACATAATTATGAGCTCAGAAGCACTTTTTGGGGGGACCTGTTCTATGGGGGCTAGGTGAAATAATGGACCGATTTTAACCATTTCAATAGGCGCGCCAAATTTCATCCAATTATCTTGAAAATTGCGACCTGTACCTTGCGCACAAGGTTTACATGGACAGCCAGCCAGCCAGACGGACGGACATAGCGTAATCGACTCAGAAAACGATTCTAAGCCAATTGGTATACTTTAAGGTGGGTCTAGGACGAATATTTTTCTATGTTACAAACATCAGCACAAATCCAATATACCCTCCCCACTAAAGTGGTGTAGGGTATAAAAATATAAAAATGAAATACGAGCAGTGCGAAAGTATTCCACTTAATATATTGACACGTTGGTGAGGATGATGATAATAATGATGACGACGAAGATGATAATGATATACTGAAAACTGATTGAGTTCATCTGTCTAACAGACAGACAATAGTCCGTCCTTTGACCAGTCTGTAATTCTTTATATGTATTAATGTTTGCTTATTGGTGGAAAGTAGCTTTTTGGCTTTTACCAGCCTCTGTGGCTGGCTCCCTATATATGTATATGGAACAAAAATCAATGGTCGATAATATATAAACATTTCAGACTTAACATGACTCTGACTGGCTGTTCGTGTCAGATATACATACATATATAACACAAATCATTAAATCTCAATAAATTGATGAGATTGTTAAAATTACACATTATTGGAAGCATGAAAAAAATGTGAGGAAATTAAAATAGTCATATTATAATTTAATGTACTTTTTGTCGTTATTGTGGGTAAGAACAATTAAGTTTTATCATAAATTAACTATACATGAGGGAGGTCGAAAGTTCAAATTTCAGCCCAACGGCTGAACCTAGAACATGGAATTTTGACAGTAGATGTGTTTTTGGTTATATAGATCCACTAAGGAGGGAAGGATTTTTTGAAAATTTGTACATTTAGGTGTAAAAAAGGGAAAAAACGTGTAAAACAGGGTTTCCTTAATTTTCTTACCTAATATTAGTGATACAAGAAAAATTTTGAAATGCACATGTATCTACTCTTAAAACAAGCAGATGGGTGTCTGGTACTTTTTTGAAATTCGTACTTTTAAGGGGTGAAATGTGTAACAAAGGTGTTTTTTGGTACCTTTTGGCCCTTTATAACTTTTTAACTGAATAAACAAATAAAATTTTGTATATTTTATTATATATTTCCGCAAAATTTCGTACTTTTTTAAAATCAGTCCGTTTGGGGTGTAAAAGGAGAAAAACTTTATTTTTGGTACTTTTTTTTGCACATTAAGAAAAACTTTTTCGATTTATTGAAGTATTCCTATTAAATTACGGACTAGCTCTATAATATTTATTGAAACAAATTTTTTGCTATTCACTGGGGAAAAAAGTACAAAAAAGGGGAAAAAACGGGGAAATTTAATTTTATTCAAACTCATTGAGCCAATTTTTATAAAATTTGAAAAAGTAGTTTATTTACTCACACAAAATAAGCTATTGGTATATTATTTTGGAATTCGAGTACTAAGGCCTATATAGGACCAAATTCGAGTAAATTGTTTGGTACCTTTTGAAGGCACAATTTTTTTGGAACAAATAAGAAAATTTTTAAATCAAAATTTTGTATGTATTTAATTTGGTTAGGGTAGCGAAGCACCCAGGGTATGCTAGTATAATATAAAGCGTTGGTCACTGTAGGATTATTGGTATGATATAACCCACTGCTAGGATCAAACTGTTTAAACTTTTCCAAAAATATTTCGTTTGAAAAATCGCTCAAATGGCAAAACGGATCTGATCAAACTAATTTGATTGGGGTAGAATTTACCATTATGTAATGATGAACGAAATGCATGACATAAAAACTTTTTAAAGGTTAACAAATACATAGTGAAATAATAACATTTTTCTGTCAATTCAAGAATTTCTTGTAGAGTATAAAAAACCCCCAATAGTTTACATAGTTATCATTATAATATAAACTTCGTGAAACTAATAAAATTTTAACTATAAATATCCTATAAAAATGGAATATTAAAAATTATTTATGAACTACGTATGAGTGCAACTTAATTATGACATTTAAGTCATAAACCAAATGTAATAAACTGAAAAACAAATGTTGCCATAAATGTTTAAAATAGCCGGGGGTCTAATGAATAATGACAGGTCATAAAAAATATGAAAAGAAAATAAAAAACGCAAAGAATATTAAAGGCAGAAATTCATTATAAAAAAAGCAAAAAAAGAACAAAAAAAACGACTTCAGAATAAATGAAGAAAAACAAAAAAATTACATTAATATTGAAAAATACATACAATTGCACACACAGATATAAATATTTTAGCCATAAACTTACCGATTACAGCCTTGAGGCAATGTCTGGGTGGTGTGTTGTTGTTGCTGTTGATGATGATTCGAATGCATTCCTAATGCATTCAGTTTATTTGCCACAATCAATTGACGTCATTAGTAGCAGAGGCTAGAGAGGATGTAGAAATATCTTTAGTTGTAGGAGAGGTTAAGAAAGTGCTGAACCATTTAAGAGAGCAGAAGGAGGCGAAGACTGAAAATAGAAAACAAAAAAAAAATAAAGAAAATTAAATTAAAATTCTTGTTTTCTTACAAAAAAAAAAAGATTTTTAATATTTTAACCAATTAAATAAACTGGACCAATTCCAACTAACAAGCATTAAAACGAACAACTAAGAAAGTATAGTCGGGCGTGGTCGACCATATGATACCCTACACCAGTTATGAATATTAAATGTGATTTATTTTTCATAATGAAGCATTTATCTTCAATATTCCCTTGTCCCGATACATTTAAGCAATTTATGAATGAAAAACTAATTTTCTGAAAGAGGCTTTATATGGGGGCTAGGGGCAAATATGGACCAAGCCCGATAAAATTTTGTGGATATATTTATATTTACATAATATTTTATTGTACTGAATTTCATCGCGATATTTGTGTTTATAAGTTAATTTGGAACATTCAAGTAATTTTCTGAAGGGGACTTTGTATGGAGCTAGGGTCAGATGGGGCCCGATCTTTATGAAATTTGGCAGGGTCATCAAGACTTCTATAAAACTTAGTTGTGCCGTAATTTATCGATATATCTGTATATTTAACATAATTATGAGCTCAGAAGCACTTTTTGGGGGGACCTGTTCTATGGGGGCTAGGTGAAATAATGGACCGATTTTAACCATTTCAATAGGCGCGCCAAATTTCATCCAATTATCTTGAAAATTGCGACCTGTACCTTGCGCACAAGGTTTACATGGACAGCCAGCCAGCCAGACGGACGGACATAGCGTAATCGACTCAGAAAACGATTCTAAGCCAATTGGTATACTTTAAGGTGGGTCTAGGACGAATATTTTTCTATGTTACAAACATCAGCACAAATCCAATATACCCTCCCCACTAAAGTGGTGTAGGGTATAAAAATATAAAATGAAATACGAGCAGTGCGAAAGTATTCCACTTAATATAATTGACAACGTGGTGAGGATGATGATAATAATGATGACGACGAAGATGATAATGATATACTGAAAACTGATTGAGTTCATCTGTCTAACAGACAGACAATATGTCCGTCCTTTTGACCAGTCTGTAATTCTTTATATGTATTAATGTTTGCTTATTGGTGGAAAGTAGCTTTTTGGCTTTTACCAGCCTCTGTGGCTGGCTCCCTATATATGTATATGGAAACAAAAATCAATGGTCGATAATATATAAACATTTCAGACTTAACATGACTCTGACTGGCTGTTCGTTGTCAGATATACATACATATATAAACAAATCATTAAATCTCAATAAATTGATGAGATTGTTAAAATTACACATTATTGGAAAGCAATGAAAAAAATGTGAGGAATTAAAATAGTCATATTATAATTTAATGTACTTTTTGTCGTTATTGTGGGTAAGAACAATTAAGTTTTATCATAAATTAACTATACATGAGGGAGGTCGAAAGTTCTGTTTTAAATTTAAATGTTGCTTAAATGTTCTACTTAATAAGGTTTAATAAGGAAATTAATCAGTATACGAGGAAAATAATTTATTGTGAATATTGAAAAATTTTCGAAATTTACTGCTGTTGAAATTGTTAATCTTTTTAAGATGACAATAAATTTAAAACATTTAATTTGTATCAATAAGTTTTCTGTTATATTTTCTTTGTTTTTTTCTTTTAATTCGGATTTACCTTGAAAATAAACAAATAAATTAAAAGAAAACATATGTATGTATATATACATAAGTGTGTATGAGTCAGTGATGGGCAACGCACAAGTTACTTTAACTATTTCATTGTGAAAACATCCGACACATTGACACGAGTATCCATTATTGAGGATATCCGCAAAACAAAGATATAATCTATATCTCATTAAATCAGAGATATAACCTATATCCCATTCATTTGACAAAAAGTTTTTACCAACTTTTGGCCTTATTCCTCTGAGAAGTCTTTGTAGTCTTTACGATAACAGCATCGAGCATATTCCGAAATATTACCATCTATCATTAAACTGTCATTCTCTTCCGCGATACAAATTTCAACCACAATCACCACGTGCACCCTAAAGGGATCTTTCCAATAACCTACGCAACACAAATTTATTTTCGTAGTCTATATATATAAAAGAGTAGCGTTACTGACTGACTGATTCATCATCGCACAGCCCAAACGGCTGAACCTAGAATCATGAAATTTTGACAGTAGATGTGCTTTTGGTTATGTAGATCCACTAAGGAGGGATTTTTGGAAATTTGTACATTTACGGATAAAAAGGGGAAACACCTGTATCTACTCTTACAATGAGCATATGGGTGTCTGGTACTTTTTTGAAATTCGTACTTTTAAGGGGTAAAAATGTATAACAAAGGTGATTTTGGTACCTTTTTTGGCCCTTTATAACTTTTGAACTAGTTAACATAATAAAATTTTTATAAATATTTTGGATACATCTCCCAAAATTATGAGACACCTATTGTGTACTTTTTTAAAATTCAGTCCTTTTTGCGTGTAAAAGGAAGAAAACTATATTTATGGTACTTTCTTTAAAACATTAAGAAACTTTTCCGGTTTATTGAATTATTCCTATTAAATTACGGACTAACTCTGTGATATTTATTGTAATAAAATTTTTGCTATTTCACTGGAAAAAAAAGTACCAAAAAGGGAAAAAAACGGGGAAATTTAATTTTATTCAAACTTATTGAGACAATTTTTATAAAATTTTAAAAAGTAGTTTATTTGCTCATACAAAATTCGAGTACTAATGCCTATATAGCACCAAATTCGAGTAAATTGTTTGGTACTGTTTGAAAGCACTATTGTTCTGGAACAAATGAATGCATATTTGAATCGTTTGAGTTTAATCTGTAATAGATAGATTTAAATACGGAACATTTTTTAACTTAAATTTCGAAAAACTATATATTTCTGTGCGAAAAGGGGAAAAATTATACTCTATTTATTAGTACTTTCCACTTAGGTAAAATGTATTCCACTTTTGGTACTTTTTCTTTCTTCAAATGATACTCTTTGTATGTTTTTTAATATGAATTCAAAACACATGATTATTAAACATACACGGTCCTCATTGAATAAGAATCTTTAAGAGAGAACTTTTTAGTACTTTTTATTTCAGAAATGGTACTTTTTTAATTTTCTAAAATATTCCACCTAGGAACATTAATTTTAACATACATGGTCTTGGCTAAATAATATTCTATATGTGGGAACTATTTGATACTTTTCTATTCTTCAAATGGTACCTTTTAGATTCTTTATAATGGTTAACCGAAACACACGGTCCTTATTAAATGAGAGAGATTTTTGTACTTTTTCGTTTTTCCGATGGTACTTTTTGATATTTTTACGATATTGAAAATAAAATTTATAATGTAAGGACCTTAGTGAATGAGAATCTACTTTTGGTACTTTTTCATTCATTAAATTATATTTTTTGAATTGTATATAATATTGAACACTGAAATATAAAACTAATTTTTATGTATTTTGTAAGTTAGGGTAGCGAAGCTATATTAAGCTATGTTTGTTGAAATCTCCCCCCACCCCCCTGGGGCATGTTACCTTGATGAAAGACCCTCATCTTGGAGTTATTACAATTCTGGGGAAAAGAGGTGGTACCAATACCTATAGTCTGCCGGGACAAAAAACATAAATAATTCAATGAGGAAAAAAAATTAAGAAAAAACAGCAACCAAAATGTTCATTTAGACCTTCGTTTAAATTTCCTTATAGACAAGACTACATAAGGCCGCCAAAAAAAATCTCTAGTATATTTATTTTATACTCTCTCCCTTGAGTGTGTTTATTTGCAGTTGTATTAACAAATTAATGTTCACATATGTATGTATGTTTGTGTAGATGTTTGTATATACAAAGTTGGTTATATGTATGACAATTTGGCTTATTTCCATGCATCATTTCATTTTGTCCAACTGTCACTTTGTCTGTATTGTTGTCTATTAGGTTTGTTTTCAAATTTTTCTTTTTTAAATTTATTGTGTCACATGAACAATGTATTGTGAATTTTATATATATTTTTATTTAAATAAAATATAGTTGGGATAAAAATGAAAGCAGATAAATAAGCATAGAAGCTTAACTGGGACTTAAAAACGATATAAAGTCAATAACTGAGGGAGATTTAGGGCTTTAGGAAAATTCATAATTTAAGCCAAATCAGAACTATACAAATCTTATAATAGGATTTAAAGCTAGAAAACTGAAGCAAGTACCTCCATTACAAATCACTACGTAAATAAGTACTTACAAATAAGGAGTTAAAAACTGGTTTTGTCGCAAAAAATGCTCACACAGAGTAAAGTACTTATGTATGTGATTGTAGGTAAGTCATTAGAAGAGTACTTAAAAGTAATGCAAATGATAAGTAATCATTGAAGAGTAAGTGGTTATGTAAGTACAAGTCATTACCTAGTTTTTTGCTGGGTATGTATACGATTCGAATAGATGAATAAAATGCTCTTAATCTTAATCCAAAGCGCCAAAAAAAACACTTTTTCTTATCTATGCACCTAAATTTACAGAATTTACTATTCATCCGCACCCATTCCATCCATGTTCGCTTTTAAATGTCTATGCATGGACACAAACATGTCGAAATAATTATTTTTATAATTGAGTGTGAACAAACAATCAAAAGTGGCAGTCAAAATAGCAAAAATAAAAGAAACGCACAAGTGAAACAAAAATAATCATATACAAACATGGACGTGATTTCTGTATATTTAATAAAAAAAAGCAACAATAACACCCCGGCAGTTCGTGGAATGTGACTACAAATACACGTCCCTTCCACAAATACAGACATATGCTAATTGATTTTGAAATAAATTTCCTAAATTGAGTACAAGAAATATAACTGTTATCTCTTTGGATTATT